TTTGTTGTTGTTATTGTTTGTTTATTTTTTTGTTTTGAGAAACCATTATCCTGACTCCCACAGTAGCTGGACTAATTTACATTCCCATCAGCAGTATATGAGCGTTCCCTTTCCGTATCTTTACCAGCATTTATTGTTACTTCTTTTTTTAATGACTGCCTTTCTAATTAAGATGGAGTCTGAGTATAGTTTTGACTTTTCCCAAGCTTACTCTTGCCACTTTTTGTTATACAGAAGATGTGCGATGGGGTGCATTCCCTATAGGCCGAATGCCAGGTCAGACTGACGACCCAACAGAACTTTTGTTGGATAATTATGACACCATGTATCTTTTGGACCAACTTGTACTCGAGCAGCGGCTAGAAGCCCCAAAGTCCAGGAGTAGGTGAGTACCTGTGGCAGTGGGCTTTCTCAGCCCTTTGACTGCCTCTGATGGATGAAGAGGAAACAAAAGTGGGTCGGATGAGTCAGTGGTTATGCCCTTGTTAGTATTCCTATTTCTTTTCCCTAGTATAGGGAACCAATGGAGTAGTCACACATGATTTGATGCCCCTTCCAGGTTGAGTCCAGTTTGTATACAAGTGCTTCTCTGTATGCATTTGTGTATGGGCCATTGGAATTGAGAGTCCATTCATGTTCTGCTTGCTTATTCCCTAGGAGATGACTTGAACTCCCCTTCACTCGGGCATTTTGGGGGAGGACTCTAAAATCTAATTGCCCCAGAAGCAGATGAATAGAGGAGGTAGCTGGGGAAGCCAATTGGAAGTGGGATTCCATTATAAGAGGCCCCTTTCTCCGCCAACTAACCTGGCCCTAGGAAAGCTTGGCTTAGTGAGTGCCAGGGCATATAGAGCTGTTGACTTGGCCCATCTTTGTAGCCCTCTTCCATTAGTAGTTGGTATACGAAATGCCAACCCTTACTTTGCTCAGCTTCACCCTTGACTTGGCTATGTGACTTTGGGCAGATTCTTTCTTATTCAACTCTGGACCTTAGTTTCTTTGTAAAGTTGTGGGTGATGGGAAGGGGTGGGACTGTTATTTCTAAGTTTTTTTTTTTTCAGCTATAGTATTATAACTATAGTACTGGAAAGATGGTTCACTGGTTAAGAGCACTGCCTGGTCTTCCAAAGGTTCTAAGTTCAATTCCCAGCAACCACATGGTGGCTCACAACCATCTGTAGTAAGATATTGTGCCCTCTTGAGGAAGAGACCTGGTCCGTCATCCTCATCATCATGAAAGCCAATATGGACAAGTTCAACAGAACCGCCATATATGGGCTGCTCATGCATGCTTCAGCATTGCCAGGGAATAATTTTATTTTTTTCATTCATCCACTGTAACTATAGATCTGCCTGAGTGAAGGCTGATAGCTTAGCTATCAACTAGATGGCACCTCATCTAGCTGGAAGGACCTTTGATCTACAGGAAGCAGGAACTAAAAGAGTGTTTGTGAGGTTAGGGAGACAGAGGATAGTTGTGTACCTCAAGCAGTCTTAAAATATGGAGCAGGGTTGGGTCACATTAACTCTATATCCCAAGCCTCATATTGAGCCCCTTAACTCGCTATTAGATGTGAGAGGGATCCACCCAAATGTCCTTTGGGTCCTAAGCTCTAGGACCTTGGAAAGAGGCTCTACTGAGGTAACCAGTCACTCTGTTATCCTCCTGGAGCTGAGGTGGGACCTCTATCCCTTAATCTCAAGCAATACATGAAATTTAAGCTAGTTTCTGTACTACAGTTCTGTGTAATGCTTCACTTGAGAAGTTCTAATCTCATTTCTTCCTTTCATGGGCAGGGAGCAGAGCCACCCCTGGTTCTCACCTGAAATCATTTGTCAAGAGTAGCTCCTATCTATCTCTGTATAAAGACAGGCAGGAAGTTGGCCTTTCCCACAGGCACATACAAGTTAAGTTCCCTTAGCTCTTCCAGAGTTTAGAGCCACCTCTTTCCCTCACTGACTCCCCATTTTCTCTGCAGCACTTTGAGCCTAAGTTGTTGTGGAGACAGTAGCAACTCTAGCAGCAGCAGCAGCAGCAACAGCGGCAGCAACTTGGAGGGCCTTCTCTGGAACCAGGGACAACTGCATGGGCTCAAAGCTGGCCTGCAGCTCTTCTGATGACTGTCCTTATGCAAGTGGCCTTGAAGCCCCGCTATATTTCACAGCCCAGAGTCCATCCATGGTACAGACTGAACAACCTGGGAAATAGTTCAGATCAGCTGTATCAATTTAGCTTTCCACCGCAATAGAAATTTGAATATTTCCCCAGATTTTCTGTTTTGTTTTGAAATATAATAAACAGATTTTTTGTCATGGTGTTTGTGAGATGAGGGTGTGTCTTCTGAGTTAGGTAAGTGTAATTTTCCCTTTGTTTTGTGGATATTCTATAACAGGTGACATGGTAACAAGGGTTTTAAGTAGAAGCTGGAGTCTGGGGCCTATTAAGTATACCAATTGCTTTCATAACTAGACTGTAGGCATACCTTCTGCCTGACTCCTTAAAACTTATTTCTGCATCGCACCCCTGTAATGTGGGCAAGCCTACATGAAAGCATCAGGGCCCAGAAAAGAGGCACAGCTGGCTCTAGAGCCCAGTGAATAACTGGGGCATGGGGCTTTGTGGGGACAGGAGGTAGCGGGGAGTGGGATCCAGTTTTTCTTTTAGCAAGCAACAAACTGAAAAACCAAGAAAAAGAAAAAGCTGGAAATATGGTATACTTTGTCATTTCTTTGTCATTTGGCTTAGAAAAGATACAGTATACTTCTGCAGTCATCTTGGAGCTTTAAGATATACCTTAGTGATGTCAGCCCCTGTTTTCAGTCACCTTACCTCATAGTGCCTATTCTCCATCAGACCCTAGTTGCCAGGAAACATAGAACCTTTAGCCTGATGAGGAAGGACAGAGTTACTTAGGCTTCTTCCAAGTACCTAAAGCTGTTTCTATAAATAGCTGCTCCAAGAAATGTTAAAACTTTATGTTGGAAATGCTGTTTCGGAACCCAGTCAAGGTGTTTTGTGCCCTGCCTACCCCAAAGCCACTCCAAGCTGCAGATGGTACTCAGAGCCTCAGCCATGGTAACCAGATATTTTCATCACTGAACTTCAACAAGGGTTCTAACTTGACCTTAAGGGAGTGTATATCATCTAAAAGAATACTATATAAATAGTATGTTTATAATATATGCATATTTAGTGCATGCATAATTATGTATATTACATATATACATTTATGTGTATGATATATACATACACACATATCTTGATTTGATATATTGCTTTTCAAGGGAGCTAATCTAGTTTTTGTTACTCTTCAAAGCAGTCCATGAGTCCACCAGCACAACAAACTTTACCATGTAAGCATATAGGTGTTGATAAAGCACCCTTGTGCATTGGTTAATACAGAGGTTTTTGGGTTTTTTTTCCAATGCTGCTCTTCTCAAAAAGGCAAGGGCTAAAGGTTTTCTAGCATACCCGAAAGTCAAAGCCTGAAAGATCAGCAAGAATGATCTAGATTAAATATGAAGAAGGGACTTGAAAATATGTGGTTACATATTCCATGGTCTAAAGATGCATATTTATAGTCCTAGTGTACATTAGACTAGCTCACTTTACTGTGTATGTTTTGGGGTTACATGATATTGCTTTTTAAAGATTAGATTTTTCTGCCTAGAAAAAGGTTTGAAAGTAATAGTTCTTGTTTGGTTCCTCCTGCTCCCCACAATGTATGTACACCTTTTTACCTATTTTTTCAAATATCTTGAGATTCTTTTTCTCTTAGGCCCCTAACCTAGTCCACATTTCCCTTTAAGTGTATTGAGATACTGAGACAGACAAAAGAGAAGTGATTTACCCTTGGTCAGAGAGAGCGGTTGCTAGGTTGTTTTTTTTTTTTTTTTTTGAACATCATCTGGGATCATTATGGATGAGGATTATTAGACCCCACTCCTGATGTGAATATGGTTTTGACATAGATGCGATTATTTTGATGCACAATGGAGTTTGAGATGTACTGGTTGACAAGAAAAAGCTGCCTAATGACGCAGGTTCCAGGCATTTCCTAGTACTTAATTAGAGCAACCCTGGGCAAATCATCCCATTTTCTTAATCTGCAGGATAGCTACCTCAGAAATAAGATTGTGCAGAACAGGACAGATTAGAAGATGCTTTTGAGGATCTGGGGAGATGAATTCATAGATAAGAATGCTGGAGGATCTGAGTTCAAATCTCAGCAACTACATAAAACACAAAGCATGGTTGTGCATGCCTGTAACCCTAGTATTAAAGGAAATGACAGCTGTGTTCCAAGAGCTTTTTAGGCAGCCAGCTTAGCCAAAATGGTGAGATTTCAGTTCACTGAGAGATCCTGTCTCAAGGCACAGTAAGGTAAAAAAACATCAAAGGAAAACACTCAAGGTTCTCTGGCGTCCACATGTATGCACACAGGTGTATGGTCCCATACATGTGCATGTATCATATAGATACTATGTACAACACGTTTTCTGAAAGAAAAAAAAACATTGGTAACCCACTTCAAATTCCACATGGAGTGCCATCTCCTAAGAATATAAAAGAGTGTCCAGTACATGACAGACCCTCAAATGTTTACTGAATGAAGTGTTTTTCTGAAGCATTTGTTTTATATATGCAAATAGTGGGTATACACAAACCTTTCTCAAGAAAGAACAAGAAAATGATTTTCCCAAGTACATCTGTAGTCCAAGTACTTGAAAGGCAAAGTCAGAAGAACCGAGAGGTCATGACCATTTACAAATTGTATGTGTGTATAAAGTTGAAGTCCAGCCTGAGGTATGTAACAAGACTCATCATGTCAAGGGCTGAGAATATAGCTCAAGGGTAGAACACTTACCTAGCATTTGTAAGACTGAGTTTGATTGATAGAACCATAAGAAACAAACACAAAAAATTAGACAACTTTGGTAAATTTCTGGTGAACTCTGTGAGGAAGGGATGGGGATCTGTGTCTTGGTGTTTATTTAACCATGCAGATTGAAAGGTCATACGTTTAATATTATAGGAACAAATTGGAGTGTTTGTGCATTCACTTTGACTTTTGTTGCTGATGTGCTTAAAGAAAGATCCATTAGTGATTAGTAGACAAATAGTTTATGCAATAAATGGGTTTACAGTTCATTGTTGTCAACAATACAGCATTTTCATCACAACTACAGGTGAAACAGAACCTCATGGAGAAGTTGTAAGTACATTCATGCTAGTGAGATTATTGTAGAAAGCATTGCACATGCATCCTAGGAGCAGACAAAACTGGACAAGGGCTATATTTTCACTCATCTCAGGTTGGCTTTGTATTTTGTCATTGAGACTTACATTATGTTTGGGTCAAATAAGAAACCCAAAGTGGTTTTATAAAAAGTTTACAACCATTAAACAATACTGTTTAATCCCACAAATGGATAAAACAAATTACTATAGCTCAATGATACACAAACCAGGACTAAAAATAGTCAATCTGCCTATGTGTATAGCTAGCTATAATACAATAAATATCAAATATGCTGGGTCTTCACAGAGGCATTGACTACTTTAGACAAGCAAGTTGTAGAAATACACTGGTTTTGTTTCAAATGAAAACTAACACTGGTGCTATTTTGGTCGATTGAAGATTATACACTCCTCAGTTTCATATCCGAAGAGAAGCAAACTAGGAGGAGGAAGAGAAGGGTTATTAGGAGGAGACCTGAGCAGGGAGGGCTCTTTGGACAACTTGGCATTACTTGCCCTCTGCAAATTCCAAACCTGGTTTACAGAACAAAACAAACTATTGAAATTGTCGCCCCCCCTCCAAAGGCATTTGTACAAAGCTGCACACGTAGAGCACAGATAGAATGAGAGCCTCTTCACAATGAACTGTCCCATGTTAGAAGGAAGCTGTAACAAAGATTAATAGATATTAATGGTTGAATTATTATATAAAGGTTATTTCAAAATGAAAAAAATGGATTGTAGAGGAGTAGTCTCTTAGAAACTAGAAGGTTGAGATATTAAGGGGGGGGTAAAATCATGCTGTATGCTTCATTGCTTAGAAGAAAAGTTTTACAGACCATTTCCATAAATTGTCCGTCATTTTCTCCTCCACACCTGGTACCTTAAGTGAGTTCAGGAGTTCCATGTTACCTTGCAAAGGCTCCTTTTTCTGTGAGCTGTCTTATAGAAAGGGTGCCCTGAATTGACCATACCCTCCAGAGTCACCTTTCTCCTTTAGATGGAAATGAAAACAACAACAATAAGGTCACAGCAAGAAAATGAAAATCAGAAAATCTACAAAGTCTAAGGCCTGGACAGGCACAGGTTTGCTATGAGGTCAGAAAATCAGTGAAGAAATTCAAATTACAAAGCACCTCTTACAGAATCCGCTGCTCCTCAAAAACCACACAGAACACTGTGCCTTAACTCCTGCTGTGTACTTGGAGGTGAGTATCCCACAGGACACACACTTAGCCCCTTAAGGGCACTAACGAGGTCTCAATGCTCTTCTTTATTTGCTATTTTATAATCATAGACAAAATGGAAACATCAAGAAGTGTGCAGATCTTGATATAAAAAATGTTTCTGTAACGTAAGAACCACACTGGATTAATGCATTCGTAATGATACAGCTCCATTAAAGATTCTTACATATGGTTTATTACTATTGACCCTTTATAAAAATCCCCTTTATAAGGACATGTTAAATTTAATAGGCTAAGGAGAATCACAATGTTGCAGATTGTACACACAATAGTTGTGCATCTAACAATAAAGAGGCCTTGAAAACTGTATTTGTCTATAAACTACTACTGCCCTTTGGAAATAAAAGCTCCCTCGTTACCCCTGGGCTACTTTCCTGTGACACACAGTGCCACAAATATGGTGAAAATTAAGTACTAAACATAGTTTAAGATGAGTTTTGTATATTTGTTTCTATACAATCAGGAGAAAAGAGATACAATTTGTATCAACAAAAGGTCATTTCTGGTTATTTGAGGCATTGCTCTTAGCTGCTTTGGTTCATACACATTTGACGAGGAGAGAAGAATGGCAATCCTTTCTTAGAAAGTGAAAAATACATATGCTATCTTAAAAAATTCCCCTGCTGGGAGGAGCTTACAATTCTTTAGCATTTTAAACATGAACATGTTCCAGATAAACTGCAGCTAATGAGATGTGTCCTGTGCTTCCCTGTGACCTGGGCAGCTCATGGACACTGCAGAGTCATTGGCCGGAAGAGGATCTAATTGGTAGAAAGGCATCAGAATAATCTGAGATTGTCAAATACCCTGATTTACTCAAGGGGCAGATTGAGAAGGTCCAAGAAGCTGAAGGTATGAAATGATGCTCAGGCGGGAAAGAGCACTGCAGAGACAACTGTCGGTTTGTATGGACCTACCTGGTAGAAAATACTGTTCCCTTTATCAGTAGACTGGGAATGGAACAACCAGCGGGTCGGACATAACTGGGAAGTTGTGACTAAGGGAATATGGTTTAAGATGTACTATTCGTCAACTTTCCCAGAGAGAAAGCTGGAAAGCAGCATGGAAGCCGTTATTCAAACCACCAGAAACAACCCTGACTACAGCCTCACGTTCAAAGTGTTTCACAGGAAGAAACATGTATAGGCAGTATTACACCTTCTCATGAAGAAACAAAAGGCCATGACCAGGCCTTCTCAACTCTCATGAAAAAGGACTGTAGAAGTTAGTAAGTTCCAGCCTCAGAAATTGTGAGCTGGGCATCGTTCAAAATGTTGAAATATACAATGGATTCAGAAAGGAGGGCTCATTCACTGCATCTTAAAACAAAACAATGAATGCCTCTTGTAGAGGCATGTCACTACAAATGATTCTACCCAGAATAAGATTCAAACTGTGCAAATGGTGCTACCTGACCCAAAAGTCATAACCCTCTTTAATATTGACTGCATCTCAGCATTACCTACCACCCAGTGCGCCCACCCTCTCTGCATGGATTCGAAGTGCATAGCAGAGCACTTCCCCTTTGGAAGCTGCTCTTTTGCCACCTAGAAAATACCCTGGTTTTGTTTCCTGAAGGGATTCTCCTCTACCAATGACTGATCTTATTGCTCAAAGAGTGGACAACAGGAGAGGGTGGTGTACGTGATTATGCACGCTTTTTCACGACACTTTGTCCTATAATGTTGAATTGGTCAGAAGTTCCAACTCTGTAATGCCATCCCTCCTGGGATAAGGGAAATAGATTCTGGTAGTAAGGCCCGTGGTCCTGGTCCAGATCTTTAGCGCTTGTGTATAATAAACATACATACTAAGTGTTGAATATGCACTTAGAGTACCTCCTCTATAGAAAACTTCAGCCTGACCCCTAATTTGCTAAGGTGAAGAGATTTGAAAGCCAAGAATGGTTAATAAATGTGGTCAAGTAAAATATATAAAAGAAATACAGCTGCTTTACTCTGGTGCTCAAGAAAGCAAAAGTTTAAATGTTGACATGTGATTTCACTTTTGAATCAAATTGAAAGTATAAAATGTGACAAAATCATTGAGTTGTATTTGTGATCTATACAGGTGTAAACTATAGACTGTATAGAGCTTACAGTCTGATTATCACGATAAAAAAGTTGATAGCAGAGATACAAACACATCTTAAACCAAATATATAAATTCATACATGCAGTAGAATTGCTAAGAGGAGGATTCATCTATATCTTTAGAAGTTTCAAATGGGCCCCTATACCTTGCTAAAGATATTGAATGATCAGATACCCATGCAATAAAATCTGTGGTTACTTTTAGTTTTAAGTATCTCTATTATAAACCCTTAAAAGGTTAATTCACAATGCAATCTGATCCTCATGTATTTGCTCTCTAAATTGGACAGATGATCCATACTTTATAATATGGAATATGTGACTAAGCAAACCCTGGTAGCTGGGTGTGGTGGCACATGCCTTCAGTCCTAGCACTCCGCAGGCAGAGTGAGTTGAAGGCCAGCCTGGTCGACATAGCAACTACCAGGAAAGCCTGTGCTACAAGGAGAGACCCTGTCTCCAAAAACTCAAAAAGAAAACAACAGTAATGAAATCCCTTGGGGTTTCTTGCGTTTTGTCCTCCGTTACCTCCACACTTCAGTGGAAAAGGACATGGGACATTGGGCCAGTAAACTTCGGGTTGTGTCTTGACTTGGTCATTTACTGCTAACTTCATCAAGCTTCAGTTTCCGTCTCTATAAAATTAGATGTTACCAAGATCTACCTCACAGAGTTGATACGAACTAAAATGATATAAACACTCTGTAATTTTAAAAGTACAACACAAATTATTACTTATTAGAATTATAGTATCGTGTATTATTAGTATTCGTATTTATGTAAAGGAATAAGTCCTTTGTGTCATGTCAACGTGCAGCCCGAAGTTTGGCAACAATCAAGGCTGCCAGTTGCTGCGCATCTGCTGTGTGCGGATTCTTCTCCATCACTGCAAGAACAATGTTAGACGGGAAGATGTTGCAGAGGTTCTTGTACGTCTGATATTGGTGCTCTGGTATTACATGCTCCCTGGCATCATTGCACATTCCAACCCAAGGATTCCTCCACAGCTGCTCCATTTTTTCAGGCATGCTCCTTACCATGACTGGTTCGTAAGATGGTTGCATGAGGCTGTTACCTAAGGGATAGGAGTGGTATCCATAGGAGTCAGCTGTACGGGGCAATGGGTCCCAACTAGCATGCTGTTCCCTGCACAGAGGGGGTCGCCGTTGCCTCATGGGGTTGCTGTCATAGAGGCGGGAGTCAGAAATGCTATCCATTCGAGTCATCACCAGAGCACGGCCTGACTGGGAGGCTCCCACAGGATGGAGATTGGGAGACATGGTGTAGTCTCCAGGACAGCTAGAGTGTGCTCCAGTTGCTGAGTTCTGGGCATGCACAGCTAAGTGAGGGACAGACTGCTTGTGTGGTGCTTGCTTGGAATCTTCTGAACCATAGCTTTGTACTCTCGCTAAGGCTTCATGGTAACCATGGGAAAACGGCTGAAGATGGTTGTGGGATGCTGAGCGGTGCAGCTTCAAAGTGCCTTCGGGATGGGCATCAGCTACAGCCAAGTACAAGTTGTTGTAAGAGGAATAGTTGTCATTCCTGGTATGGCTCATGTGACTGTCGGTACAGAGGCTGGGATTCCGAACATATACCCCCTGGTTTGCTTCAGACATATAGTACTCATGATTATGCATGCTGTTGATGCTCACTTTGGAGAAGTCGCTTAATACTGAATAGTAGTCATGGTCCCCCATAGTCTCAAACTTTGGGTATTGCTCAGTATAGTTAATAGGGGTGCCATGGCTGTTGGTAACCAAGATAGGGGGGTATTGCATGCTGACCATGTGCTCCAAAGAGGCCTTTTGATGGGGGAAATGGGAGGACCCTGGCACTGGGCTGCTGGCTGAACGGGTGTTGAGTGCACCCACTGCATGGCTTTTGGGGGGAGGGATTGTAGGAACACTTAAAGCGGTCACAAGTGAAGGGACAGAACTGGCCTCGGGTTTACGCGCAATGGACAACCACTCTTCAGGTTCCGCAGCCACAGACCGGATGCTGGGATCTGATTGGCGCTTGGAGGCCACACGTTTGACCTCTGAGGTTATCTCACCTTTGGCAGTAGACATCCCTGCGCCACACTTGGCCAGGGTGTCTTCGCTCATTATTTTCACTGTGGACAGTTTGGCACTGATGCGGAGCTCATCAGCCACCGAACGCTGGGGTTGGTTGGCCCGCTCCGGATGATAGTATTTGCACTTGTGGCCGTAGGTGCATTTTTTGCCTGAAAAATAATGCCTTGGGGTAAGACTCTCTCTCATAGTGGTCCAACCCTCTGTGCCAGAAATTGTCCTAACATTCTGGTCACTCGGGTTAGGGTTAGACTGTTCAGGGTTAAGGCAGAAAATTAATTCTCCACAAAGATGAGAGACAGACAACACCAAGGAGTCAGCACAGACTGTGAGGGAGAGGGAGAGAGTGGAAAGCTTCGAAGGAAACTGCAGGGTAAGAGCTAAGAGCTGAGCAGTTGGCTAGCCTGAGGTTTCTGGTGATGGCCAACCTTTCTTAGGCACAGAAAGCAGACCGAGGCAGTGCGGAGAGCGCACGTTTGGAGGCCAGTGAGAAGTGAGTTTCAACGCCAGCTATGTCCTTTACTGACTATGATCTGGCCAAGTGACTCTTTTCTAAGGCTCATTTTCCTCTTTGGTCAAAAAGGTTCATAACCATGCCTATAGTACAGGATTCTGGGAAAGATGAAATGGGACGACACACATGAACATACTCTGATTTGAACATGATTCGCAGACAAAAAACAAAAACACACCCACCCCTCAACAAGTGATTCTTCAACAAACACAAACACCCTAATAGCCCGAGACCCAGCAGTTCATGTTGCTCTGTGAGGCTCACAAACTTCGTATCGGGGGATTTTGGTAAGAGCACAAGAACACTTTTAAAAATACTGTACTTTAGAAGTACAAATGAAAATGAAATTTGGAGGCAACTGAAGCTCAAATCAGAAGAAGATGGTATAATTAATTGACAGAGGGTATAGTTACCTGCCCGAGAAACATGACCTTGTTTAGGGTCAACCCTTTGGAACGGCCCCTTCTGCTTCCTGAGGATATATCATTTCTGCTCGTCCTTACTCCTAGCAACACCACTCAGGACCTGGGCACATTTTCACAAGGGACAGCATGCCACGTTAAGTGACAGCTAATCTCCTCTTCAATTTGAGCTACCTTTTCCTCGCGCAGTTTCTAAGCTGTTTCTCCATGTACCTAGCTGGGAGTACATAAAGACCCAGATTTTCACTCACAGAAAGTGGACAAGCCAAGATTTCTCACTTGAAAGAGAAATGTGGAAAGGAAAAGCATTCTAAGAATCTGCCCGTTTCCCTTCGTACAGAACTCAACTCTGTCTGGACGTACTCACCATAAGGACATGGTTGCTTTTTATGCTCAGGGACAACAGGTCTCTTTCTTAAGAAATTCTCAAGGCTCGGACCATGGCGTCCTAAAGGGTCATCAGGAGGCATGAATCTGAAAGCAAGCCACCGAGAGGTGAATTGTTTCCTTCTGTCACCAACACGCTTGTAAGGGTTCAGGCCCGCCTTCTCCCCTGCCCGCCCCATTGTCACAGCATTCTACTGGTGCTTTCTACCCCTCAGCTGTCTAAGGACAAGCCATTGTTTCTTCCTTTTCTTTCTACTTGATCACACAGGAAGGATGATCTCCGTGTGCATCCTTCTTTCATGGTCTGTATATACCAGTCATGTTGCTATGAATGGCGTCTCCCCTGTACACCAGCCACTTTCATACCTTTGTAGATTTTCTCATAGTGTTCCTTTCACATGACATACCCAGCAGCCCATTTTATTCTGTAGAATTCATTTCAAGAGACAGAGCAACTTTTAGCATCCTGCCTGCCAGTATTTTCTCTCCCCCCTATCTCTACCTTTCTTCTCCTATCTTTAAGTCCCTTGAGGGTGAGTCCTGCTTCCTAGTCAATCTTTTATCTTTGTAGCCAGCAGCAGAATTCAGGGTATAGAGTAGGTGTTCAGTATACGTTAACTGAAACGTAATGCATTACTCCTCAAAACTTGTGATGAACTCTTTAGAGTTTACTAGAAAGAAACTCACTTATCATTCACAAAAGAATACATCAGCAACCGCTCCTCTATAAACTTCTTCCATTCCGGCTTTTCAACTTGAAGGTCTCGGTAGTTATCATTGGACACAATGATGCCGTCAGAATCAAAAGCCAATTTGACTATGAACCGGTCGTCATAGCAGACCACCCTTCTGCCTTGGACCCTTCGGGACGGTGTGAAGACGAGAATCTTTTCCTTCTCCAGTTTACGTAGAATATCTTGATCTATCAAAATATGCCACACAGTAGAAAACAGTTTTGGAAATGAACCATGCTATCCCCATATTATCAAAACAAAAGTTACTACTATATAAATCTTTTATTTGTAATTGGAAAATAGGTGTGCCACTTTTCTGGCTGTGACATCAAATAGAATTGTGATTTAGTCATCTCTTTCAGACTTTAGTTTTTCTTTCAGTAAAATGAAAAAAACAAAACAAAACAAAAAACAAACCTAGATTCAGACACTAAGTTTTAAAAACTGTCACAAAGCCGGGCGGTGGTGGCGCACGCCTTTAATCCCAGCACTCGGGAGGCAGAGGCAGGCGGATCTCTGTGAGTTCGAGACCAGCCTGGTCTACAAGAGCTAGTTCCAGGACAGGCTCCAAAACCACAGAGAAACCCTGTCTCGAAAAACCAAAAAAAAAAAAAAAAAAAAAAAAAAAAAAAAAAAAAAAACTGTCACAAAGAGAAAGAACTAACATTTGATCTAGCATTCTTTTTTTTTTTTTATTTTGGTTGAGACACTGTTACTATGCAGTCCAGGTTAGCCTGGGACTTCAGATTCTTCTATCTCAATGTCCCAAGAGCAGTGATAACCAATGTGTACCAGCACGCTCAGCTAACCCTAGCTTTCTTGATATTTGTTTTGTCCTTTGTCTGAAGCATGGGATTTTTTTCCTGTGGTGATGGGATTGAAACCCAGAATCAAGAGCATGGTAGGCAAGTGCTCTACCGCTCATTTCTATCCTCATCCCTAGCTTCTTGACTGTTTGATATAGCAAAGGCTATATCTGTTAGGAGAGTAAACCATCGCTCATGGAGACTTTCAGTTTTTACTGTTTCCTGAAAGAAAGACAAAATGAAGGTGGGACAGCAAGCCATATTATTTAAGCAGTGACTTTTTTCTTCCTTTTTCTCTAAACACTGACTTATTTATTCATCCACCCATCTATTTATTTGTTTGTTTGTTTGTTTAGTGTGTGTACCATGACATGTGTGAAGGGGTCAAAGGGCATCTTACAGGAGTTAGTTCTTTTTCCATTATTTGGTTCTCAGGTATTAAATTCAGGTTGTTAGAGCTGGCAGCAAGGGCCTTTACCTGCCGAGCCCTCTCGATGGCCATTTTGGATCCAACTGATCAGGAAAGAAAACTTGCTTACTAGGCTTGACCAGTGCCGAGATGCGCTCTTACACTGGGCCTGGGGCCTGCCCTGCAGATGGAGACAGAACTCAACCACCCACTCACTGACGGAACTTCCAGAGTAGTTCCTTTGGAAACGCAATGCCTGCGCTGTCTGAATGAGGTGCACATAACGATTCTTTGGAATTTAGGCACCTATATGCTCATGAGCTCTTTCTTCCATAGAGAAATATTTAAAATCATTTTAGAATTTGGCTACTATACAGACAAACATAATCAAATTAAGTGTGTTTTACACATTCATTGTTATTCTCTATTTCATTCTTATGTGAAAAGAACAAAACAAAAATATTTTTTGTGGAGATTTAAAAAGTGTGATAATTTCTAGGCTCTGAACCTTCTTTACCTCAGACACAGATTGTTTCTTTGGCTGTTTTCTCTGATACCACTAACTTGTAAACCCCACATTTGTTTCTTTGATACAAAATAGGAGTGCCTATATATCATGTAACCTTTAGTTTACTGAAAAAATCAGTCATATTCATAACCAGATTTATTCCCTATTGTTTGAAATCTATTATCAGTCAGATTGCCCTGGTACTCACTATATGGCACAGGTTAGCCTCAAATTCATCATCCTGCCTCAGTCTATTGAGTATTGGGATTTCAGGTATGCATAACCATTTCAATAAAAATAATGTTCTTCTTTTCCAATTATGTGCTTCATGGTTTTCTAAATTGAAGTTTTTATTTAACTATCACGTACCACAAAACAAGCGTGATTTCATAATGGATCACTTTATAAAGATACGCTTGCTAAATACATTTTAAGCAAATTTAACTTAGAAAAGCAATTATCTAAATTGAGACCATCTGCCTCTCTCCAATCTATCTTTTTATCTTTGACTCTCGAGGAAGATATTTTTTATTTGAAATAGTACCTGTAATTGGTGCATCAGGGCGGGATTGCTCCTTTCTCCATGCTGGTACGAATACAGTGATATCTTTATGGCCTTTGTCTAGAAACCAATCCACAGCAAGCTGTATTCCTCTGCAGGAGAACTCTTCTTTATTTCCATGGCTTCCGAAACAATACAGAACAAGAGAGAAAAGGATCAATAATAGACAGCAAAAAGAAACACCCCGCCAGCCCTTTCGCAGTACTGAGATTAATGACAGACATTTTTCTTTTTTTGTACAAGGTTACACTATCATCTATCTATCTATCTATCTATCTATCTATCTATCTATCTATCTATTAAATCTTTACATTGCTTTTGGTAATTTTCATAATACTAATTCTACCCATCCGTGAGCATGGGATGTCTTTCCACCTTCTACTGTTTTCCTCACTCTTTCTTTAGAGATTTCACATTTTCATTGTAGAGGTTGTTCACGTCCTTATTTAAGTTTATTGCTAGACACTTTGGGGGACTACTGTGAATGGGACTGTTTCCATGAGCTCCTTCTCAGCATTGATTCTTTGGGGCCTATAAAAAGGATACTGATTCTTGTAAGTTGATTTTGTATCCTGATACAAAACTACAAATAGTTGATTATTTCTAGAAGTAGTTCCATGGAACTTTTTGTCTCATATGTATTCTATCATATCACTTGCAAATGGGGATAATTGAACTGTTTTTTCTAATGAATCCCTTTAAATTCCTTCTCTTGTCTCAGTGCTTTAGACAATGTTTCAAGCACCATCCCGAAAAGGAATGGGGGGAGGGTACTACTTTCTAGGTCTTGTTTCCAAGGGGATTGCTTCAAGTTTTTCTCCATTTAAGAAGATGATGGTTGTTGGTTTGTCACATATAGCTATATTACTTTGCAGTATGTTTCCTCTTCCTACTCTAGGAATCTGAGTAGCCAAAGTAATCTTGAGTATAAAGAACATTGAGGAGATTAACATTCTTCATTTTAAGATACATTACAGAGCTACAGCAACACAAATCATAGCAATGGTACAAAATAGAAGACCCAATTATGAGTGCATGTAACTACAACCATGTGATATTTGACAAAGATGCCAAAAATACACAATGAAAAAAAAAACCAACATTTTCAACAAATGGTGCTGGGAAAACTGGATGTCTAGATATAGAAGAATGAAATTCGACTCATATCTGTTACCCTGAATAAAATATGAATGAATCAAAGAGCTCAGTGTGAAATTTGAAACTCCTAGAAGAAAATCTATGTACTACTCTACAAGCTATAGATGTTGAAAAAGATTTCTGAATAGGACTCTGTCCAGAAATAAGGCCAGGAATAGACAAATGGGACCTTATAAAACTAAAACACATCTGTACAGCAAAAGAAGAATATCAATGAGTTAAAAAAGATCTCAAGAATTGTTCAATATCTTTAGCAATCAGGGAAAATTATTTTTTTAATTTTTAAATTTATTTTATTGTTTTATTATTACTTAAAAAATACCAATCCAAATTCCCACTCCCTCTCCTCTTCCCAGTTCCCTCCCTATCTCTCCAAAAATCCTCCCACCATCCCTCCAACAATCAGGGAAATTTAAATGAAAATTTCCTAGAGTACCCCCCTCATCAGTTATAATGGCTAAGATCAAGAAAACCCTGAAAATCAATATAGGCCAGGATGTCAGGAAAGGCGACCCCTCATTCACTGTTGGTGGGATTGAAAATTGGTGTAGCAACTATGGAAATCAGTTTGGAGAATTATCATATAGCCCAGCAACATTTATTCCTTGGAAAAGGACCAAAGGACCTGGCATCCTACTTCACAGATATTGTTCAGCAATGTTCATTGCCAACATATTCACAGTAGCAGGGAAATGGAAACAACCCAAATGATCTTCGATAGAATGGATAATAAAGACGTGGTAGGACAGTATACTATTCGGCTGTAAGGAAACGTGAAATCATGAAAATTTCAGGTAAATAGACAGAAAACGTAGAATTGTATATTTACAGAAAATATGATGGTGACTGAGGTAGTTCAGACCCAGAAAGACAAATGCCACCTGCTCTAGCTTATTTGTGGATCTTAACCCTAGCACTTTAGATGTGAGTATAACAGCAGATACCAGGAAAGTTAAAAAAAAAAAAAAGGACCATAGGGGACTTTCGTAGACAGAGGAATAGTAGAACACAGGTGCTGTGAAGGAGAAATGGGGAAAATGAGGTTGAGGGAGGAGACAGGGAACTACAAAATGAGACAATCAGGATTATTAACACAGGCTGTTTGGAAAAGCCACAGGGAATCATATTATTTTATGTTTACTTAAAATTACACATGTAACTATATGTATAACAAAGTAGCAACACTTAGGGTGGCAATAGTCTGTAACCCCAGGGCTTGAGGGTTTGAGATATGTGAATCCCAGGGGCCAGCCAATTCAGCCAAAATGGTAAGTTCTGGGTTCATTGAAAAACCCTAGGTAAAGAAGCAATTTTAAAAAAGCAATTAAAGAATACAAATAATAACTTACAGCCTCCACGTACACCCACACGGGCAATATCACCCACGTACATAGATCACAACATATACACATAAAGGAACCAGTTGAAGCAGGAGATGAGGTTTAGGGAAGGGCAATGGGTGATCAGAAAAATAATGAGAATGAGGAATAATAATACCTATGTATGAAGATACCATGATGATGGAATCTATTTCTGTAAAGAATGTCATCAGAATGTTGAGAGGGATAGCAATGCATCTGTAAATTACTTCCAGTATAGCCATCTTCACAGCACTGATGTTGCTAATGCAAGAAGAAGGCATGTATTTCCGTCTTCCAGTGTCTGTAACTTTCTTCACTATTGACCATAGAACGCTATCACTTTCAAGGTTACGTGTACTTGGTCCTAGGTATTTTGGGAGCTATTATAAATGGAATTATTCCACCTATTTCTTTTTCAGTATCATTATCATTTGTTAAATAGAAAAGATACTGATTTTTCTATGTTGATGTTTACCCTGTTTTGTTGAAATAATTTATTGGATCTAAGAATTTTCTAATAGAGTCTATGGAGTTACACACACACATCTGTCACTTTTCCTTGGCTTGTTTCTCTAGCTAAGGTTTAATTACGGTGGAGAAGAGAAAGTATACACTCTTGTTCCTAATTTTAGAGAAAACATTTTGGCATTTTCCCTATTTATTGTAAGACTTGCTACAGATTTATTGTGTATACACTTTATACTGTTGAGGTTCGTACTGTTATATTCTAGTTCCAGGGCCTTTTTCTCACAAAAAAATGTTGAAATGTATCAAAGCCCTTTCTTCCTCTTCAGATGATCCTATCTAACTTCTGTCTGTGAGCCTATGTGTGTGTTGTATTGTGTTTATTTTAATATTTCTCAAGGTGTGATCATTTATTTGTTATTCTTAAAAGAGTTTTAAAATTCATCTATTTATTTTACATCCCAGCCACAGCCTACCCCCATCCTCCACTTCAGTCCCTCTCTCCTATTTCCCCCTCCCACCTCCAGTCCCCTTCTCTTCCATCTCTATTCAGAAACAGGCAGATCTCCTATGAGTATCAACAAAGCATGGCATATCAAGTTGCAGTAAGGCTAAGCACCTCCCCATGTATTAAGGCTGGGCAAGGCAATTTAGTATGAGAAGCAGGGTCCCAGAAGTCAATAAAAGAGTCAGAGACACCCCCTGTTCTTGCTGTTAGCAGTCCCACAAGAGGACCAAGCTACACAACTGTAACATATATCCGGAGTACCTAGGTCAGTCCCATGCAGGGTCCGGGGTTGTTGATTCAGTCTCTGTGAACCCCTAATGGGCCCAGGTTAACTGATTAGCCTTCCTGTGGTGTCCTTGACCCCTCTGGCTCCAACTGCTCCTTTCTCCAACTCCTCCTCCACAGGATTCCCCAGTTCCACCCAATGTTTGGCTGTGAGTCTCTGCATCTGACTCCCTCAGTTGCCTCTCTTATTCTCTCTCCCCAACAGCAAAGTTGAGACCATTCGGATTGGCATCCACAATGCATGTGTGAACAGACTTATGTTTCCTCTCTAATTTTCCATGGCTTCTAAAGCAATAATTTGTCTTACTCTGCTTACTTCTTAAAAAAAAAAAAAACATTGTTTGCTACTACCAGTCTGGAAAACATAATCCATCCATTCTTCACCTAGGGCATCAGCAACACTGTGCACATGTTAGGCAATGCTTACATCCTGAAAGTAAACCAGCTTAGTCAGCTAAGACTATCTTTTTAGCGTGTTGAATCCAGTTTGCAAGTATTTTATTGGGAATATCTCTATCAGTGTTCATCAGTGTTGCTGTGTTGTCTAGTTTGGGTGTCAGGGTAATACTACCTTCACAGAATGAAAATTTTTAGCATGTTTTCTCTTTTGCTTTTATAGAATAGTTTGAGAAACATCAGTAGTACTTATTATTTAATAAGATTTGGTAGAATTCATATTGAACCTGCCCAGTAGTGAGCTTCTCTGTTGAGAGATTATTATTCTTTCAGTCTCACTGCTTTCTATGGAACTGTTCATGCTTCATTGTTTTAATAGTTTTTCATTTTTATGTCTTTATTCTCATAATATATGCATTCATAAAATATATCATTTTAAAATTTGCAAGTAGTTCAGTGGGATTAAGTACATTCATAGTGCTGTGCCACCATTGTAACAGTTATGACTACCATATTTATTCAGAGTTTCATTTCAAACTGAACCTCTATTTTAAATAATGTCTCCATTCGCATCACTCAGCTCCTTGCTTCTCTTGAGAAAAAGCTTCAAGTATGTTAAGTGACTTAAAACTAAGATAATGAAAAAGGACAATTCTTTTAGTTGTTTTCAGTCATAAGAAATAAATTAAACAATATCTCAATATGCAGATGAAAATATTGAATATAGATCATAATCTTCTCATTTAAATTTAGATCTTTGAGAACTTTGTACAATCCATCTTGATTATACACCCCCATTCCTTGAAGATCCATCCTTCCTTCCTTATCCAACTTTGTGTACACTTTTATTAATCCATTAAGTACAGATTATGCTGCTCATATATTCTTGAATGGTTAGTCTTAACTAGAGTTTGGTCTTCTCACAAGGGGATATACCCCTAAAAAAATA